AAATGAACTTTCGGTAAAATGATTGTCGGTAAAATAATACGTCGGTAAAGTGATTGTCGGTAAAGTGAATGCCTCCCGTGTTGATCAAATAACAAACTTCTTTTTTAAAAATATTTTTATTAAAAAAAAAAATTGTATAATCAAAACAAAAGAAAAAGAAGGCAAGAAAAAGATGCTGTAGAAGTAAAAGGATAAAGTGTTTTAAGAATAAGGATGGTGGTGGTGGTTATCACCCGCCACTTGTTGTTACTCTAGTTGTATATAATATCTTGATTATTTAATTAAAGTTTTGCTTTTTGGTATATCACTTAGATATGAAGAACAAGAAGAAGAACAAATAATAAAACTATTATCAACAACATCAAGAATAATGACTAAAAAAAGGTTTGGTATGTTATATATAGATTTTAGACCATTTTATATCAATTAATTTGGATGTTTTATATAATTTTACATTAAATAGAATATATTGATGATGAATATGATGAAAATGAAATTCTAAAATATATCCCCTCTGCTACCAATACAATTTCTGTTGGTAATCTTGCTGCAGCACACAAAGTTATGTACAGAGAATCTTTGCCTCTGGTAAAAATAAAATTTAAAGTTTTATTTTTTTTTTTTTTATTTAGCCAACATGTAGTTAACTTTAGAAATTTTATTTTAGTTACCACAATTTCCACGACTTTCAAAAAAACATAAAGAATCCAACACTGAAAATTTGACAGATCAGGAATTTAATGCAAGGTCTCTTTATATAATGAAAATTGCAATTCAATCAATTCAATCTTTTTTATGTTAAAAAAAATTTTTTGATTTGAAATAGACTTGCTGAAGCAAATATTTTTAATATCAGCGATAAAAAAAATTGCAAGTTCAAACAAGATACCCAAAATAAATGTCGATAGCATAAAAAAATGGTTTCAAGAAAACATTTCAGTAAATGAACTAATCATTATTGATGCTTTTGTTTGATTTTATTGATTAATTCTTATTCATTTAATTTCTTTTTTTTTTAAGCAAAATCTACACAAGACAATATCAAAATTTGAAAATATAGGAAATTTTGAAGGTTTTAATATAGAAGAATCTAGGTTTATTAAGCAGGTCTTAACAATTAAATTGTTGCAACTCTGAAATGGTTATGGTGAACAATTAGATAGGGACATGGATGAAAACACTTACACATCAACAAGATTTTGAACTTTTGAAATTATATTTTCTAAAAACTTTTACTTTGATGTGGTATGTCAAATGAAAAAATTAAAATATTATAATAAATATCATAAATATTTATATTGTTTGTATTAATCTAATATAATTGAATAGGAATGAAAATGATGTTCAATCTTCAAAATGGCGACATGAACTGACTTATGGTACTACTTCTTATGCAAGAAAGGCAGATGGTATTCTCTTGAACTATTGTGACAGATCAAATGAGTCTTATTATTTGAAAATGTAGGACCACCATTTAAGAATGATAAAAACAAATATAATGGTGATCTTTATAAAAATTTTCATAATTGTGTGGACTCATTCATCAGGAAATTTTTCTGATGCAGATTTACATAATTATTACACTATTTATGTAAGTTTACAGCAGGCCTGTAATATTATGCAAATAAGCATACAAAAATTATGCAATTATTACATCGAGTGTAAATATTGCATAATTTTTATGCAAATATTACAACTTTACATATCAAAATTTATGGGTGTAATATTGCGACGGGAAAATTTCCTGATGTTATGTAAACTTTTCTGGTGAGGAAAAGGAGATGTAAAAATTACCAAGCAAATATTATACACTAGCTTATATTGTTTATAGTAAGTTTATTGATTTTAATTATATTTTTAGTTAAAATTTGCTATGCTATATTCAAATTTTAATTAAAAAATATACTTTATTCAAAAATACATATTTATAGAACAAGATGGAGAATTATATAGGGTAAATTTGGCAGGAAAAAATATATTTGTAGCAGAAAAAATTTTTTGTGTAAATTATCCATTTGAATATTCTAATTTTTTGAATAACATTAAAATAATTAAGTTATTATTCATCATGAAGGTAAATTTATTTCTTTTATTGCTTGAGTAATTTTGTTTAAATTGTATGTGTGCAGAATATTTATCACATTTTTATTATTTTATAGTTGATACTTAAAGAAAATCAAAATATATTACACCAATACAAACTTTCATGTAATGATACAGAATGAAATTTTACACCAATGGAAAAATGGTTGTCATTAAATAAAAAAAACACCATAGATACCTATTATTTTATGTAATTTATGATTTATTTGAATTCGTATGTTTTACTGCAGTTATTTAATTAAATATAAAAAATTTATAATTTTTTATGCAAAGATTTGTTATATAGAAACAAGTTTATAGAATGCAATGTGAACTTTTAATTACAAATTATTTTATATACAAATCAATAAAAGAACTTTGCTTTCAAAAATTAAAATATAGTCCAGTCAGTATATTACACAAAGAAATGTTAATGTTAATGTTAATATTAACACTAAATACTGCAACAATTCATCAGAAAAATGCATTAGAAATTATATGTGGATTGTACATGAGTATCCGGATACTCATGCAGATCACTCAATGAGTACGAGTACTCATGAGTAACATCCCTAGCCCCTACTGGTGTTGTTACCCATAACATTGGTGGAAAGATCATACACTCATCCTTGAAAATGTGGAAAGATCATTGGGAGGGAAGATAAAAAGAAACATTGAATTTTTCAAACAATGCATATAAGACTTAACTGCAGAAAATTAATGCCATGATGAACAATGAGATCTGTTCACCTTCACCTTGGGTTCACAATAATAACTACATTGAACTCAACACATATAACACCCTTGATCTTTGCCTTTTTGGTAATGTTACATTAATGTGGCTTGCATCAAATCAATTCCTTTCTTCTAGAACTTGTTTCAATCAGAATCACCAACTATCTTAAAAAATATCATTTAGATTAATTTATAAGAATCTAATTTTTATTTTTGTTAAATAATGTTTTTACTAGAGTTGCCTTTCTAAACTCTAACCTCTTTTCTAAACTAGTTTAGAAGCCCTAAACTATTTTCGAAACTAACCAGAAACTCCTAAACTGATTTTATGACATATGGTGTGTAACCATGATTACCGAAATCATTCATTTTCTCTATTTTCTCTTCAAGTGACCAAAGTTTTTATCAAAGTTCATTTTTTTTTGATATTATTGTCCTGACAATTAATTAATTATTAAATCATTGGTTTAATTTTAAAATGTATTATAATTTTCTTATTTGTTCTAATATAAGTTTTCCTCTTTCTTAAAAATATATAAATTTTTTTAATCATAATAATGTCAAACAATACTGATGTTGATATAAATAGTTCATCAAATTCAAAAAAACTTGGTGGACGACCAAAAAATGCAGTCAGAAACATTTTGAATGCTATCCTTCAAAACATCCAGGACATTTTGGAGCCAAATGCAAAGCATGTAATTGTGAATGGAGTAATGGAGTTGTTAATAAACTGCAAGTCCATTTGGCACATGAATATGAATACATTAAAGGAGAGATCAAAAAAGATATATGTATATTGTTGCAGAAAGAGATGGTGTAAGTGAATCTTTAGGAAATACAGCATATAAAGTAAATACACAATCACTTGCTAATTTTCGGGATAAAGATGAGATATTATCAAAAGAATGTGCAGGAATTATATATTGTTCAATTTTAAAAGCTTTTGTGGTTTGTGGTATCCCCTTTAGAATAATTGAAACCTCTTTTTTCATTAACATGTTAAAAAATTTCAGATCAAATTATAAACCTCCTTTATGAGATTGTCTTAATACTAAATTATTATCAGATGAAGCTGTTCGTTTGGATACAAAAAATTAATAATATTTTAGAAAAGGCTAACAACTTGACATTGGGTATGAATGGTTTTTGTTTTATTAAAATTATTTGTTTGGTTGGAATTTTTAGGAGTTTTGAAAACAGTTTAGGGGTTTCGAAACCAGTTTAGGGTTTCGAACAGTTTAGGAATTCGGGCTCATTTTCTAAACCAGTTTAGAATGGTTTTAATTTCGAATAGTTCTAAACTCGTGAGTCAAGTTGTATTTCTTCTAGATTTTTTGCAATTGAATTTTTATCATTGTGGAAAAAATCAATTTCCTGAGTATCTTGTTCAATTTTTTTGTTCTAATTAATGAGAGAACGTGTCACATTTTCTAAATTTCGTATTTTTTATTTTAGTAATATCTCACAATAATAATAAAACAAACTCAAAGTTCACCGCGTTTCCGTTAGAGTTCCCATTCATAAATTCGTAATACAAATTCATATTCAATTATTCATAATATTAATATTAATTCGAATTATTCGTTTTATTCATTTCGTTATTCAAATTACTAGTTTTATTCATTTTATAAAATATAGGTCTTGTTACTTTAACAAGATAATATAAGCAATAATTATATTTATAATCTACATTACTACGACTACAATTGCTAGTACTATGACTCAAGGAAAATGTCAGCTACTACTATTTATTAATTGTTGCGCGTGAAAATCAAATTTGTGTCAATTTGAAATTTACCAATTAAAATTTTGGGGTGTTTGAATACAAAATTCTGATTGGCTAATTTGAATTTCACGCGCGTGAATTTCAAATTCACGCACAACATTATTATTATTATCACTATATTCAAGGACTAAGGAAAAATAGGTTGATAAAGAAAATTTTTTTAATTGGATTGGATAATTCGAATCAATAATTTTATTCGAATTAAAAAACTTATTTGAATTATTAGTTTTATTCAAATAAACTTTCAATGTAATAGTAATTCAAATTCATAACAAATAAAACGAATAATTCAAATAGAATAGAAACCCTAAATATGACCATGTGTATTCATCATTTTGCATATTTGTGACAACCAAGAGAAATGCTCTAGATATAAATATATTTGAATGTAAGAAATTTAATTGAGCAAAACTGAGTGAAATAATTGTCCTAATGTCTCTGATATTTAAATCATAAATAGCACCACAACATTCTTTCGATTTTATTCACTTCCATGCTTAGTGAATAATTTCATAAAATTCAAAATTATTGTTAGCAAAAACTCTACAAGTAGGCCAATTCTTATTTCCTTATTTAATATGTTTTTAATAAATAAATATAATAATAACTGTTACATAGAAAATATAAAAATCCACAGCTGCTAAAGAGTAATCTTTTTTTTTTACTCAAGGCAAAAAAAAAAGACAATAATATGTTCTCTGAGATTTATTTTATTTGTAAAATGCAAAAAAAAAAATTATGCAGTGGAACAAATACATTTTTGGATTTTTTATACAAATAGAATTTTAGAGAGTTCCACTATTCTATGAGTTTTCCATTCCTTTACATCTTCAAAATATTGAAGTTCTTTTTTGTATCAGATCTATGATAAAAGAATATTTGCCATATCTTCAATTCTTTTAATACTAAGATGAGTCCTCCTGTTCCATAAAACCAACCAATTGCTGAAAACTCATTCACAGCTAGCTGAGCAAGGTGTTATACTAAACAATTTACTTGTTAGTTCTTGCAAGTGGTCATCCACACCATCCTTCTTCACAAACATACAACCATTTTAATGGATTACTATGTTTTAGAACATATGGTTCATTATATGGAGATTTCTTCAGCTTATACTTTTTCAATTGTTCTAAAAGTAACAAACAAGAATTTTCTGATTTTTTCCAATAAATAGCAATAGTTTTATATGTTCTTTTTTTTAAACGTGTATATATCTAAATTAAAATTATTCATAATGAGATTTGTAAAATTTTTTTTTTAGAAAAAAAACATATCTCTATAATATGGATGCAAAAAAAAATA